CGGAAGGTTAGTAGGAGGACTTCTTTTGTTGTATCAGCCGAAGTCTAAGGTTGCTTATTAGTCCTTATTCGTGTATGTCTCTCTTATCAAATTTTTTTTTTTTTTTTTATAAAAGACAATTCATATATTGATTCCAAAGAGAAGATAGTTACATCCTGTAATTCAGCCAGATCTGGAAATTAAAGACGCGACTCATGGTCGGGTACAAAGAAAGGGCATTCCTAGCCACCAGGTGGGCTACCCTATTACTATGCCGACCTACAAATCGAGCACTAAAACCAGGATTGAGGCGAAAATATCGCAGAATTTCTTCCAGAACAGCCCCCACCCGGTTATCTTTGGCGTCACCATGATTGATTTTATCAATGAGCACCTTGACATCGCCTTCAAAGTGAACAACGGTGAAGTTATTCGACAAACACCATAAAACTGCCTCCAGGAGCACAATCAAACTCTACTATCAGCGGGTCCTCCATGAAATTCAACTGGATGCCTTTTACCATAAGCACAGCCCTGGCAGGAGTTAACAGAACTATCCCGCCAGCCGAATACGATCACGGCTGAATTGCCCCATCCCACATACATATGACCCCACCAGCCCCTACCGACCCTGTCTGGCCCCGCATGGGGATAGAAGGCTGGGGAGCCTTCTCCACCTGAAGTCGTACCCATTCCTCATATTGCTGATGAAACTGACGCATTAAAGCAGGGAACCCAAACTGTTTTCCCTCAACGACAACCCAATTACGAGACCGTCAGATCCGCCAGAGAATCGCAACCACCGCCATGAATAACAGAGGCTGGTTGATTAAAGCCATCAACTTCTTAAGAAACAACGGGAACGTGTGACGAGGCAATCCTTCCCCCACATGATCCAGTCCGGAATAATCCCACAGAGCCCGGGCCACCGGGCAATAGAGAAACAAATGCTCCATCAATTCAGGACCTTCCCAACAAACCGGGCATCTAGGGAGAATAGGCACGCTTTTACTAATCAAGGCCTCAGTAGTTGGTAGGATTTGATTGAAATCTACCAGACAAAGACTTTCATCTTGGGGGTATATTCGCATCCCACAGACGAATCCAACTAGCCTTATCCATCCAACTGACCGTGGCTTTCCAGCAACCTCTTCGCTTATCCAAAGCAACCGCCAAGTGGTATGCTGATTTGACAGTGAATACCCCATCAGTCGTCTCATGCCAAATTAATCTATCCTCCACATTCTGGCGAGGAAGAGGAATCGCTTTAATGGCCCAACAAGTATGAGGATCAAACCACTGTCTAAGCTTCTGGTCATTCCAGCACCCCTCCCCCTGGCAAATGACCTCAGCTGCCAGAGGATCCCCATCCGCAGGTAAGATCATAGGATTATAGACCAGGGAGTCAGGCTGAAGCATTGGGATCCAGTTGGAGTGCAGCAAGGACGCAGATTCTCCATTACTACTTTGCCACCTTAAGCCCATCTCTAATAACTGTCGACCGAACAATATACTTTGCCAGCCCCAAGACGGGCGAGAACGAGCCGCAGCCTTCAAAAAAGTCCCAGTTGGGAAATACTTGCCTTTGTAGACCTGGGCGAGAAGGGAGTTGGGCTCAGTAAGGATACACCAACTAATTTTAGCTAGAAGCGCTTGGTTAAACTGCTCAAACTACCGGAATCCCATTCCCCCTTCATGCTTACTTCTACACATGTTCCGCCAGGACATCCACCGAGTCCGAGGATGACCATCAGCATCCCCTCACCAAAACCGCGCTACATGCTTATCCAAAAGACGACACAGAGAAAAAGGAAGCTTGAAACAAGACATGATATGACATGAAGCGGCAAAGCCAAAGCAATTGACTTTATCAACGTTTCCTTAGCCGCCCATGATAATGTCCTCTGCTTCCACCCCAGGAGGCGTTCTAACAGTTTCTCCTCCAAGAACCGGAAAGTCGCCATTTTAGAATGAGCGAACAGCGTAGGTAGGCCCAAATATCTATCATGGACACCCACAGCATCCACCCCCAGAATTGCTGCCAGAAAATCCTGGTCTTCTCGAACAATAATTTTACTGAAGCAGACCGCCGATTTTGCCAGGTTCACCTTCTGTCCACTCAGTTCCTCATATTCATTCAAGATCAATATCAAATTTTCGCATTCCTGGAGCGTTCCTCTAAGGAATCAATACGAATCATCCGCAAAGAACAGGTACGAGATCCTAGGGGCTCGAGGGGCCACTTTGACACCCTCCAGCCTCTTATCAGCAATCGCCTTACGCAGAAGGCCGAAAAGCCTTCAGAACAAATCACAAAGAGGAGAGGGGAGAGGGGATCGCCTTGCCGGATCCCTCTGGAAGGGAAAAGAAACCCGAAGGAGTACCATTCATAAGAACCGAGAATAATGAAGATCTAAGACATTCATGAATCCATCCTTGCCAGAAGGAGTTAAAACCCATCTTGTCCAACACTACGAGAAGAAAGGGTCATTCGACCCTATCATAGGCCTTTTTCATGTCAACCTTCAGGGCCATGTACCCTTTCTTACCTCGCGTTTTGATTTTCAAGTAGTGCATTAACTCATGTCCCAAGAGGATATTGTTCACAATCTGGCGTTCTCGTATGAAGGCATTCTGTCCTTCCGAAATGACTTGTGGCAAGATGCAGGCCAGCCGTTCCGCCATGTTCTTAGCAATAACTTTATAAACAAATTTACATAAGCTGATTGGCCGCAATTGCTGCATATTTTCCACCTTATCCACCTTAGGGATCAACGTGAGCCAGGTATGATTGAAACTCCGTAGCATCCTACTTGTCTCAAAGAAGGAACATACTGCATCGATAACCGAGTCACCCACGACATCCCAAAAGGCCTTAAAAAAACTTCCCAGTGAACCCATCCGACCCAGGGGCCTATTTCGAACCCATAGAAAAAACCGTTTTACGCACCTCATTGGGGAGCACCACCGCCGTAAGGCTAGCATTCATCTCTGGAGTAACGCTCTGCGCAATTGGCAGAGCAGCCACCCGCTCTGCCATGTTCGCAATTTGATTCTCCGAAGAGAAAAGATGCTGATAGAAGGAAGTCGCCACTCCAGCCTTCCCCGACTCATTTGTGACCCACTCCCCATCCTCACTCCGGAGACCTTCCACAAAGTTCTTTTTTCGGCGGGTTCTAGTCACCGTATGAAAATATGAAGAATTTTTGTCACCCTTCTTCAGCCAGTGAACCCTGGATTTCTGCTGCCAGTAAATTTCCTCCGCCTCCCACTGCCGATTCAATTCCACTTCCAAGACCCGGACCGCATCCCAGTCTATCGGAAGGGAAGCCTTTATCCGTACCATTTCGCTCTGGAGAGTTTTAATATTCCGTAAAGTATTGGTAGTCTCAGCTCTAATCCAATCATACAACAGGTGACGCAACCTCTTTAGTCGCTCCCAAAGTCGAAACATAGGAATACCCTGAACGTCCTCATTCCAGACATAGTTAACCATACAACGGGCATCAAATCTAAAAAGAGGGTGGCAATTCCTAGCGTAGGGCCGATCGGAGAGGAGCAGAGCTCGATGATAAGAACCTTGGTCCGTAAAATGCTTAACCAATGTCTCAGGAAAGAGGTCCATCCAGGGTTGGGAGCAAAGGGCCCTATCCTATCTTTCACGAATACAAGCAGTACCCATCCTCCTGTTGGTTCAGGTGAATTGGTCCCCCAGGAAACCAGGGTCATGGAGGCCCAGCTCGTGGATATAGTCCCGCAGACTATTCGCCTTATCAATGATATTTTAAAACTCGTCTAATGTACATGCTTGCCAAACGACGTAAGAAATGTGTAGTTGCTCACTAGGCAACACAAATCGGTAGAAATGGGTAAAATGGAAACAAACTTATATTTGTTGGGGTCGATTTTGTTTAGGAGCAAGGAGTGGTAGAAGCCGAATTTCCAGAGCTTGGAACAGAGCTCCAAAACGACCTTCAGAAAGTGTTCCGGTCCGACTCCTAAAGAAGGAGAAGAAGAAAGGGAGAAGAGAGGAAGAGACACGAAGGAAGGGAGATGGTGAGTGAGTCATGGAGGTTAAGTAGATTTTGTTTTGTGAAAAATAAATTTTTAATAGATATATGTAAGATAATTTTTATTTCAGTCATTAAATCTTTAATTACTACCTTATTTGTATATATATTTAGAAAACGTCTAAAACGGTTCAAACCGACCGGACTCCGATCAGACCATTAAACCCCAAACCCCTTGTTTGACCGACTCAATGACTTAAACCGGTTTGACAACCTTGTAACAGGGAGAGTTCTCAAGGAGTTCTTCACGCAGCACACTCCTGTTCCCATTTTCTTGACTAAGGGTAGACTGTTTGGCCACTCGCCGGACACCCCAATTCCCCTGCCACCTTGGCTGTCGGTGTCGGCGGAGGATCTCAAGTACTTCACCGACAAGTACGAGGAAGCAGGCTTCACCGGGGGAGTGAACTATTATCGGAACTTGAATCAGTGAGTCTTCCTCAATCTGTTCTTCGAAAGGACACCATAAATGTTGCTCTGATGTTCTGTATTTTGGGCAGGAACTGGGAGCTAACAGCGCCTTGGCAAGGAGACCAAGTGAAAGTGCCAGTTAAGTTCATCGTCGGGGATCAAGAACGTTGCCTACACCACTGGGAATTCGAGAGAGTACACACACAGAGGGGGTTTCAAGAGGGACGTTCCGTTTCTGCAGGAACTGGTTGTCATGAAAGGCGGCGGCCATTTCCTCAACGAAGAAAGGGCCGACGATATCAGCAATCACATTGTCGACTTCATTGGCAAGTTCTGATGATAATGTACTCCTAATTCCCGGAACAACAGACGAATGAGGTTACACAAAGCAAGTGATCCATCATATAATAAGATGTGTTCTTTTTTCTTGTTGTGCAAGCAAATCATGGATAATTCTTCTTAGTTTCCAGACTCTGCAAATGTAGCTGATAGACAGAGTTTTGCCATCATCTGATATCCAATAAGATGTAAACTAAATTAGAAACAGTTTTGCTTTTATGATCAAGGCTGTCACCATGGTTCTTTCCCAGTTTATTATGTGGATGGTTAATGATCAGTGCATCTTCTCTGGTTGGAAATTCACCCTCACTGTTCATCTCTAGAGATTCAAATTCCTACAGAAGAGAACATACTTGGCCGAGACAGCTGCATCCCTTTTTTGACGAGCCAGATGGACACTTTGGGAAGGGAGGTGATGATCAATTTATAGGCCTCTTACGTATTTCACAGTTGAAATGGACATCAACAAGATCCGTTATTCCAGCAGTTACCCTCTGGCCGGCTTTCACTGGACCGACACCTGGAGGAGTGCCTGCCACACCCAGCAAACAGGAGACACGTTTACTTCTGTAACTCATGTTACAAGCTACAATTCCGCATTTCCGGGGAAGATAAGATAACAAGAAGTCTAAATAGAGGTTGATAAAGCACCATCAGCAACTTAATGGCAGATCTAGTCTGTATCAGACAAGAATCCTAGTGACACGTTAATTAGAAGCTCAAATGGAGATTATCATACACACCAAATTAAGTGTGGGTGGAGCCGTGGAGGCATGTACTACTATGGACAACAATGCTCAAGGACCAGGACCAAAAATACCATAAGACCAAGACAAACAGAATTTGATCCTATTGAGTGCTGCTTAAGCAATAAAACAACACATTCAGAAGAGAAATTTTTGAAACATAAAATTCCAATTGAATTACTGTCAAACGATCGAACGTTGGCTTCAATAGAAAGGACCAATTTGTAGTTCTTACTACCATGAAGTTGACCAATAAGCTTGACAAAGGGCATTTTGACAACAATCCCACTAATACTATGTCAAATCAAAGAATGAAGCAAACCCGAATGGTGATGATACCTGTTAAAATGACATCTCCCTCAAAAAGGGTCATGATTGCACTTATGTGGCTGATGAGAAATGGGATCTTAAACATCATATCCTTTGTTGAACCTTTCTGCCTTATCTCATCATCTACCTGGACTCAAAACATCAAGACGAATGTCTCAGAAAGATAATCCATAAAAACTAGAGCGATCCCAAAAAAATACAAGATAATGTTTTGGCACCTTTAACCATAGTTCCAAGTTATCAGGATCAGGTACAGCCGACTTGGGGAACTGCACAAAGTTCATAACGAAAAAGTCACATGTCAAAGCAAATGAAACAAAAGTAAGCCAGAAGGTGAAATAGTAAGGAAAGGGATGAATAATCAGAAAAAATATAGCAGATCCATGTCAACACTAAAGCAAATACGTTTATGATGATATCTATTCATACTAAATAGCCAGAAGGCAGAAGCTAACCATTACAATTCACAAACTGAAGAGCACAACAAAAGGTAGCTGCAATTCACGTATCTCACATTCATATAGCTATTTCCATGTCAATTTTCACCTAATAAGACTAAACAAACGTGAAACGGTGGAGACTTCTTCTTCCATAGCTTACAATGGAACTAATAGGTGTGAATGTATCCTGCCCCTTGGCCACAGTCCATGGAAGTCCTGCTGACTGCAGAAACCAAATCAAAATTACTTCTCCTCTGAACAACGAAAGAGAACTCATGGCAAAGGAACTGATTCAGAACACATTTTCAAAGCTCGGGATAAAAAGAAAGCAATTGTCATCATCTCTACCTTGGCAGAAGCTTGGATTTCTCTTGCGGTCATATCCAGCGCTAGCGCATACCCTGAGGGAAAGCAATACCAAAACGATCAGAACCTCTCTCGTCATAAAAACCAAAAATAGAGTTTCACAGTGATGAAAGAACTCGCGTGAAACCTCCGATGTAATCCATGGCGGAAGCCTCCGGCACATCGCGAGCTTTCTGACCGATGACGACCGCGAGCTCCACTTCGTGATGCAGCGATTCAAGAGGATGTGGAATCAAGATCGTGCCTCCGTTCTCCAAGTAGGAGGATGTAGGTTTCAGGAACAACACCGGCTCCTGCGAACGAGAAACGAGAAGGCGAGCGAGGTGCCGATTAGCTGGCCGATGGGAGAGCGAGTAATTTTGAACTAAAGGGGCAGGAATCGAGTTGAGACCTTGGGGACGGCGTTGCCGAGTTCTTTGGCGTGAGCGGCGTAGTTGCGGCCGACGCCGACGATCTTCGTGCCTACTTGCAGTAGCTTCTGCATTCCCAACGCTGCCGTCGCCATTTCCGCCTTTCGCTTTGCTCCAGCAAGTTCAGAGTTCAGATTGAATGAGCTCAAAGGCTTGCAATTCTATTATTGATTTGAGTGTATTTAAAGTATAATGGAACACAATGTGCAGCGGAGTATGAGGAACTGAAAGTAGTGGAAGTAGGAGCTGGCAGGGTGTTCAAACGGTGTGGTGGTAACCGTTCTAACCGGTACTATTTGAATAATTTGGTTTAGTTAATTTGGATAATTGGTTTGATTTGGTTAAAGTTTTTAGCTTGTTTGGTTTAGGTGGTTTGGTTTCAGACACTCCTAACCAGTAGAGGTGGCAACTAGGATCCAAATCCATGAATCCAATCCAATCCATCCACCAAATTATCCACTTAATCCAATCCATTTAAAACCAATCCATTTGATCCAAATCCAATTAGATTGGTGGATTCATGGATCAATCCATGGATCCAAATGGCAAATTATGATTTGGTACCTATATTTTTTTATATTTTACAATTTGGTACCTAAAATTTATATTTTTATAAGAAAAAATCATTGGAAAATTACATTTTGATACCTAAAATTTTTCATTATGACATTTTAGTACCTAAACTTTTCAAAATTTACATTTTGGTCCAAGCCTTAGATGTCATTTGGATTCATGGATCAATCCACCAATCCATTTGATCCAATCCATGAATCCACCAATCCATTGGATCCCATCCATTTGATCCATGGATCCACCAATCCACGAATCCGATCCAATTGCCACCTCTACTAACCAGTCAAACCAAATTAATCATTTAAGTAATTAGTCATATATCTAATATATATTATATACGCATACTTAGTACTTTGCATAACCACTCAAGAGTTAAACGTTCATCCCTTTTAGACTCCAATCCACGAATCCGATCCAATTGCCACCTCTACTAACCAGTCAAACCAAATTAACCAGTTAAGTAATTAGTCATATATCTAATATATATTATATACACATACTTAGTACTTTGCATAACCACTCAAGAGTTAAACGTTCATCCCTTTTAGACTAATAAAATATAAAGCTCAATATTGCTACTATAGTGTATATTATTATATGTAAAGTGTAGACCACAACATATGGACGCCTAATTTAGATAAATCTCATACATTATGATGGATGAAAACTTGAAAGGAAGGTCCTTTCCAGCCTATGATAATTGCTAAGAGACTAAGTCAATTCACACAAACACAACAATTCATTAACCCATACCATTGTCATAAAATTTTGTTAGGTGAATACTTCTATACTAATCGTAAGATAATTGTTTTAGTTGCATGTATTTATGTTAAGGGTCAACTATAACTATGTGTTGATTGTTATGTTTTATTCATTATATAAATTGCGAATTGATGCATTAACCGGAAAATTTTCTCACTTAATGATAATGTAATTTTATATTGGTTAATCTGGTTAACCAATTAACCAAATCGATTAAACTTTAGTTTGGTTAATTTGGTTGTTGTATTAGTTTGGACGGTTTGGTTATGATATTGTATTCCATGGTTAATGAAATTTAGCCTTATTTGGTTTGGTATAACCATGGTAACCATTTGAACACCCCTAGGAGCTGCAATAGCCCACTAACAGCTACACCAACAACTAACACCAGAAGAGAATTATAGGGAATATGGTACACGTCATCACGCCCCCCGCAAGTTGAGGCTCCGTGAGGCGAAACTTGGAGGAGAACTGGTTGAAGGAGACCCGCGACAAAGGTTTTGTAAGCACGTCAGCAAGCTTATCAACAACGAGTAGATAGTGAACATGTAGTTGTCCTTTGCTGACTTGATCGCGAACGAAATGGAATTCAATCTCCATATGCATAGACCGATTGTGGAAGACCGGGTTATGGGCGAGGAAGGTGGCGTCCAGATTGTCACACCGCAGAGCAGGATCGGAGGGAATGGTCTGACCCAGCTCTTGCAGTAAGGATCTAAGCTAGAGAACTTCAGAAGCTAACATGGCGAGAGCACGGTATTCACATTCGGTGGATGAGCGAGCCACCGATTTCTGCTTGCTAGTAGACCAGGAAACCGAATTTGAACCACAGAAAATGGCAAAGCCAGTGATAGATTTCCTGTCCTTGGGACAAAATGCCCAAGATGCATCCAAGTAGCCATGAATATGCAGTGTTGATGACCGAGAGAATACCAGTCTGCGAGTGAGAGTGACCTTAAGATAGCGTAAAACGCGCTTAACGGCCGCTCAATGAGAATCGGTGGGATCATGCTGAAACTGAGAGACAAGATTAACCGCGAAGGAAAGATCTGGCCTGGTGAAACTAAGATACTGCAGTCCACCAACTATACTGCGGTATAAAGCCGGATCAGAAAACCGTGGTGAGATATCAGATTCGCTTGCTGAAGAAGGTCCGACGTAGCAGGAGTAAATATAGGATTGTCCATGGACATCTTGGCTCGATCAAGGAGATCCGGAATAAACTTCCGCTGGCTGAGGATAATACCAGTAGGAGATCGATGAATTTCAATTCCTAGAAAATAAGATAGCGGCCCCAGCTCTCGAAGAGCAAAATTGGCGTGAAGAAAATCCATTAGCCGCTGAATAAGTGCTGAATCATTGCCCGTGATGACGATATCGTCAACATACACAAGCATATATAAGCGAACAGGCCCATACTTATAGATGAAAAGGGAAGGGTCTGTGCGTGAAACCGAGAAGCCAAAACGAGTGAGAGCAGCGGCAAGGCAGTGAAACCATGTACGGGGCGTCTGGCAAAGACCGTAGATGGATTTTCAGAGCCGACATACATGATTTGGTTTGTCAGGATCGACAAATCCGGGAGGCTGCTGCATATAGACTGTTTCCTGTAACTCACCATGTAGAAAACAATTAGCAATATCAATCTGATGTAGAGGCCATGCCTGAGAGACAGCAATGCCTAGAATGAGACGTAATGTGGCGGGATTGAGAACAGGGTTGTATGTCTGATGAAAATCCAGACCGGGTACTTGTTGAAAACCACGAGCAACCAGTCTAGCCGGGCGCCGATCAAGAGAACAATCCGGGTTGACCTTGGTACGGTAAACCCACTTATTGGTGAGTATGTTACAGCCTGGAGGTGGGGAACCAAGTCCCAAATGTGGTTGCGGAGCTGAGCAGTGACCTCGTCAGCCATGGCCGAGCGCCAGTGTGGGTTTTTTAGAGCCTAAGCGACGGTGGAGGGTGTGTCGTCAATCGGAAGATGGGAGAGAAATGTTTTGGGTTTGAGGTTACCGGTTTTGATTCTAGTTACCATTGGATGGGCAGAGGATGTAGGGTTGGTGATGGGAATAGGTCGAGGAGAGGTGTTGAAGGGAGGGCGAGAGGGAAGAGGTCGACGAGGAGGCAGAGGCGTCGATTTCGATTTGGGTGGCGGAGGGGGAAGGGAAGTCGCAGGCGAAAATGAGGAAGGAGAAGAATGGGCCGAATTTGTGGGCCGAGAGGAGGGGGCAATAGTGGTAGGTGGGCTGGGCGAGTAAGGGTTAGGAGAGACGGCTGAAGTTGGGTGTTGGGCCGAATTTGGTGGTTGGGCTGGTAAGGGTACAACAGGGTGAGAGGGGTCGGCTGTTTCGGTGGTGGGTTGGGGCAAGGGCGCAGAAGAGGAAGTAGGGGGTAGTGGGAGACAGATTGGTGGAAAAAACGAAGAGGAAGGCAAAGGCAAAGATGAGGTGGAAGAGGGAATCTTCGAAAAGGGAAACCGTGTTTCATCAAACAAAACATGTCAGCTTATATAAATATGACCTGTGGCAATGTGAAGGCGACGGTAACCTTTGTGTAGCTTGCTATACCCTAGAAAAACACAAGGAACAGAACGTAGTTCAAGTTTTGAAGAAGTATATGGACGAATCCATGGATAACATAAGCAGCCAAAAACACGAAGATTGGTGATATCGGGATGGCGCTTAAAGAGAGCATGAAATGGAGTGTCATTGTGGAGAAGAGAAGTCAGTGTGCGATTGATATTTCTGTGGAACTTGAGAGTGATGAAGAAGAGCAAGACCGTTATTAACAATATGACGATGTTTTCGTTCTGCACACCCATTTTGTTCTGGTGTGTATGGACAAGAGGAATGATGAGCAATACCATGGGTGCGTAAATAGGAGGACAAAGCTTGATATTCACCCCCCAATCAGATTGAAAGGTTTTGATGGGAGTGCCAAAAAAAATTCTACCAAATTGGCGAAATTGAATGAAGACACTAAGCAATTGTGATTTATATCTTATATAAATCCATGAGAATTTGCTATAGTGATCATAAAAAAGAATGTAGTATGATTGGTCATCGTAAGATAGAACAGGGGCAGGACCCCAAACATCACTACAAACAAGTTCTAAGGGAGCAAAAGCTTGAAATGTAGAAGAGGCAAAGGGAAGCTTATGAATCTTACTAACTGCACAACCATGACACAAAGAAGATTTAGAGGGAACAAATTTTATTTGATGCTTTTGAAGGGCCTGCTTGACAACGCGTTCAAGTGATGATGCCACACATCCAATGTAGCGTTGCAAGCAAGAGAAGGAAACAAGGTAGGGTTAGCATTGAAACGACCGCGAGGCAACCCACGCCCACGACCGCGGCTGCCGCACCCACGAAAATCACCAGCGCGGGAGTAAAACGCAGTCTGCGCAGGAGATTCAGGGCGCATCCAAAAGCGTTGAATCTGGCTTTCTTCGCTCAGCAGTAGAGAGTGTAAATCTTCAAAGCGAATCGGCTCCAAACGAGCCTCAATGTGGCGCACAAATGGATGATAGTCCTCACCAAGTCCATCAAGTATCCAGGCGGTAAGATCATCATTATTGACAGGTGAACCAAGCGCGGCCAGCTGATCGGCCTTTCCCTTGGCAGTATGAAGATATGAATGAATGGAAGCATCACCACGCCTGAGATTCTGCAATTCTTTGCTCAAGTGACGGATCTAAAGTTTAGATCCAGAGGCATAGATAGTAGACAAGGCCGACCAGGCGTCGTAGGCGGTGACCTTGTTGATGACAAGCGCCAACACCGACTCAGAAAGAGAGAGATTGATCCACGTGAGCACATACTGATCACGAATGTACCAGGTAGAGTAATGAGGGTTGAGGCGGCCATCAATGGACAACGGAGGAGCAGAAGTGGAGCCATCTACGTAGGGATGGCAATTTCGACCTGACCCGTTTTACCCGACCTGTTTGACCTATTTTGGGGCGGGTAGGCGGGGCGGGGTGGGCATGGGTAGTCTCATCGACCTGACCTGCCCCGACCCGCCCCATTCTCGACCCATTCTTGTCTAAATCACATGTAATCTTAGTCAAATTACTTAGAATTTTCCTTTTATTGCATCATATTTTAGCTATAATAAAGTTGTAAATTAGTAAAAATCTCAATTTCTCCAATAATTTAACTACAATTGTCATAATATTGTTTGTTTTCTTAGTCTTATAATAAAAATAACGAATATTTCTAATGTTTTTCATATAAATTGCATACCCATTGGGTCGACCTGCCCCGACCCGCGACTCGTGATCAATTACCCGACCTAAACCCGACCTGCCACAAGGCGGGTCTGGGTACCAAGAAACCCGCCCCGGACCTGCCCCATTGCCATTCCTACATCTACGTGACCCATAAGCTGATGACAACGAAGAAGAGGGGTGATCTGAGCATTCCATAGAAGGTAATTTGTGGGAGTGAGCTTGATCGTCAATTGCGGATTGGCTGGGAGGGAGACAGAAGTCACCGGCGCAGAAGCAGAGTCACCGGATGACGAGGTAGAAATAGAGGCGGACTCAGTAGCCATTTTTGCCGAAAGAAGAAGAAGAAATAATTGAATGAAGGGGAATGAAAGACTTGTTAGAGTGATAAAAGCTCTGATACCATGAATGACCTCAAAAGCTTGCAATTCTATTATTGATTGAGTGTATTTAAAGTACAATGGAACAGAATGTGCAGTGGAATATGAGGAACTAGAGGTAGTGAAAGTAGGAGCTGCAACAGCCCACTAACAGCTACACCAACAACTAACAGCAGAAGAGAATTATAGGGAATATGGTACACGTCATCACAGATCCTTCCTCATCTTTTTTTTTCTCGTCGTTAGCCGTCAACTCTAATTGCATTTTCCGCACCAGTTTGAAACGTATCGTTTTAGTAGACGATAAAGTGGGTAATTAGTAATTACGACTATTTTTACCACACATTACATTAGTAAGAATTTTGTGTAATTTACAGGTTTTGTATCCTCAATTAGTAGGGATGGCAATGGTTCGGGTTGGATCAGGGTTTCCCAAACTCAATGTAACATCCTTACCTTATAAGAGTAATTAACTCATAATGATGTCGTTAATGATGAGAATAAACATGACGTCCTTTAAGCCGAGAATCAAGTAATTATGATAGTATAAGAGGTTAGTTAATTGATTTAGAGGTTAATAGAAATTAATCAAGTGGATTTAGTTTGGAGATTATCATGAAAGATTAACTAAAATTTAAAGAAGGAGAAGTTATGGAGTGGAATGGGAAATACCTTATGGGATGGATAGTTGGCTTAAGGTGATTGGTGGAGAAGGAGAAGAATAGAGAAATTTATAAAGGGATTGGGGCTGGAAATTACAGACCACCACCCTCCATCCTCTCTCGTTTCTCTACTCCTCTTCTTCCTCTCTACTCTTTTCCTCTTCTCACCACTCTATCATCAAACTATCATTCTCCATTTTTAAATATGAAATCTAATCATACTAAGGAAGAATTGGAAGTTTAGGAACAAGGGAAGGATCATCCGAAGGGTAAGAAGCATCTTCCTCCTTCTTTGCAAGCCTAGAGGTATGAACCCTAGGCTAAGTTGTATGGTTTAAATGAAAAACAAGCAGCCTAAGCTCCATAATCTATATTGCTTGTTAGATGGGTATGTTAATAACCAAAGGGGTAGATGAAACAATTATGGGTATATTTCTTCTTAGAAAACGTTTCTCAAGATCTGAGGGTTATGCTTTCAAAATTTGGTAATTTTGTGGAGATCATTTGGTATTTATAGAAACTAAAAACCATAGGTATGAAAACAGGGTATGGGTACAGGAAACAGTTTTGAACCTCGAACTTTAGTTGAGTGTGCAGACTAGGATACTGGTCCAAATGGGTTGAATTTTAGGTATGTGGTAGCCCTATGAATATAGTTTCCGTATCAACAAGAATAAATCAATTTGGTTAAGTAATGAGGGAGATATGATCAGAATAGTGATCAGGGGTCAAATTCCCCGGACACCATTTGAGATCCCCGACCGGGGATCCATGAGGGGGATAAGGGATATGTGGGGAAATTGCATGTTTTGACCCAAAACTCACACACCTTGACCCCTATATGCAATTATATGAGTACATGCTCACTTTAGATGATTAAATGTGTGTTGTATGGTTGATTAAAGGGAGAGAGCAGTCCGGGGAGGCATCCAAAGGAAAAGGACTTGTGGATTAACAATAGAATTGTGAGTAAACTCTAACCTAGTAGCCTTATTAATGTAAGCATGATATTTGGGTCATGAAGCGGCACAAATACAAAGGAATTTATTTACAAATGGTAAATTGATGGATATGATTCATTAAGGTAAGGGTATATGTGAGTGTGTGTGAATGATTCGGTGAATGGTGGTTGATGATAATCACCGTGAGTGTCTTAATGATGATGAATAAAATGACGGGGATGATGTCAATGATATGAGAAGATGTTGATGATTATGGAATGTTGATGAGTACGGGTATGATGGTGATGACTTGATGGTTATAATATTGATGAAGATGATGATAAAATGTTGTGAAGTAAAATGTGTTCTTTCATGACTTGTGAGTACTTAAACCCCCACAGAAAGTCATGCACATGGAGTAAAAATTGATGATGTGATAAGTCCTCAGTATGGACTTGAGTGTATGATCGATTTAGGGCCGATTGCCCGGGCCATGGGAGATTCTCACCGATGCCTTAGGTCGGCGGCGGGGGAGGAGCCTAGGCATCGAGGAGGAGGTGGAGGAGGAGGCGGTGGGGAAAGAAGCTAGGTTGTGCATGGCTAGCCGGAGGGGACTTGACTGTTGCCTAATGTATTGTGTAGGTGTTTTGTTTGTTGTATGAGTGTGCTCGTGTATTTGGGGGAAAAGGATAAGTGGTGTTGTGATTGATGTTATGATTAAGGATATAATTAAACTTATATCATGCTTGGTGATTTATGTGATGAACGTGTCGATGTTATACCTTATAAATGATGTTATTATGAAAACTGATATCGTAAGTTTGGGAGGTGTGGTAGACTGGTGTAATGTTAAGGGTGGTATTGTGATTTCAAAATATTATGTTTATATTAATTAAGACTCTAGTTTAGAGGTTACTCATTGAGGTGACGTCTCACTCCTGTCAACATTTTCCCCCTCATATATATATATATATATATATATATATATATATATATATATATATATATGGTTATGTCTTCGGTGCACTCACTTTTTTGGGTGCATTCAATGCACCCGCCTCATAATCGTCATTCTGAGCAGACGATTCATGTGAAAACAATGTCAATCATCTCTTGTAGTATGATGAACAAGAACCACATGAATTTGTACAAAAATCATTCAAGATTCACTTTAATTTGAATGATTCAGGGTTTAGGAATTTAGGGTCAGGGTTAGGGTTTACAATTTGGGATTTTGGGTTTAGATTCAAAATTGAATGTTAATAGGTTAGGGTAATGGGTTAATTAGTTGTGATTCTGTGTTATATCATCATATGAAACTAATGCTACCCATTAAATTTCAAAATTTGATGTATTATGACCACTTTTAGAGGTGAGTGCACTGAATGCACCCAAAAAAGTGAGTGCACCGAAGTAGCCACCATATATATATATATATATATATATATATATATGGTGGCGTATTCGATGCACCCACTTTTTCGGGTGCACTCAGTGCACCCACCTCATAATTGTCATTATGAGCATGCAATTCATGTCAAAACAGTACCAATTGTTGCTTATGATATTATGAACAAGAAGCACATGAATTTGAAAAAAAAAATTATTCAAAATTTACTTTAATTCGAAGGATTTAGGATTTAGGGATCCAGGGTTAGGGTTTAGGTTTACAATTTTGGATTTTGGGTTGAGATTTTGGATTGAAAGTTAAGGGGTTAGGGTAATAGATTGATTTGTTATGATTTTATGTCATATCATCATATTAGATTGAGAGTACTAATTAAAATTCAAAATTTGATGTATTATGGACACGTTTAGAGTTGAGTGCACCGAAGTAGCCACCATATATATATATATATATATATATATATATGGTGGCTTCTATGGTACCCCGAGTGAAATCCGGGGTACCGCATACCTCGAGTATGGAAACTCTATCTAGACCTCGAATTACCAGGATTTTTGTGTGATATTATACCCTAACCTTTAATGAGTGAACCCTAGGTCATAATTATCTAAATCATAATCTATAAACCCTAAGATGTTGCATTCCTTTTTGTGCCTATATTTGGATGAATCATAACCGTCGATTATTATTTCTAATTAAATTGATCTTGGAGTATAAGATTGGGAGAGTTAACACCTAGATTTTGATCTTTAAGTGTTAGAGTATAGTATCATGTCCGAAAGATCGGTCAATTCAAGGTCTAGATAGTGTTTTCATACTCAAGGTATGCAGTACCCCGGATTTCACCCAGGGTACCGTAGAACTCACCATATATATATATATATATATATATATATGTGGTGGCGTATTCGGCGCAACCACTTTTTTGGGTGCACTCAGTGCACCCGCCTCATAATCATCATTCTAAGCATGCGATTCATGTCAAAATGGTATCAATTGTTGCTTATGATATTATGAACAATAAGCACATGAATTTGGAAAAAAAAATCATTTAAGATTTACTTTAATTTGAAAGATTTGGGATTTAGGGCTTAGGGTTAGGGTTTAGGTTTAAAGTTTGGGATTTTGCATTGGGATTCAAAATTGAAGGTTAAGGGGTTAGGGCAATAGATTGATTTGTTATGATTATATGCCATATCATCATGTTAGATTGAGAGTACTAATTAAAGTTCAAAATTTAATGTATTATGGACACTTTTAGAGATTGCACCCAAAAAAGTGAGTGCACCGAAGTAGCCTATATATATATATATCGTGATGAGGTGGTGGTGACTCGAACTCCAGCATTATGTATAAGTTTTACTTAGAGGAGAAGTGAATCTTCTCCAAGGTCATGCATGTTTTAAATGTATTTTGAAGTTTGAGTTTTGTAATATAAAGGTTGTCAAGTTTGAATGTTTTCAGAGTTTGTAAACTATGCATGGTTTGGACAGATTCACGTATATGTTATGTGTTAGAGTGTTGGGTGTTACACTCAAATCCGTGGGTTTATTCGTGAAAAAAAAATCGGGGGTAAAATTCATCCACTGGCTATCTGCGGGTTCATGGGTACTGTCAGATGTGGCAGATGACATGGCGCCAACAAGATGACAACATGGTTATTGCACATGTGGCATGTATGGAAGGCTAGTAGCATAGAGATACTCCTAGGATTCTCCACCTAAATGAGAGCTTAATGGTGCACTTATGAGTCACATAATAGGTGACATTTATAGAGTGCATAATGGGGGGACTTAATGGGGTGTATTGATGTAGAGGGACATTATAAGGGGCATTGATGCCTTGTATGAGGAGAGGCCTATATAAGGAGCCATCTATCTCGCTTGTAACTCATTCCATCATTTTTTAGAGTAACACACACTAGAGAGTTCTCCTATTTCCTTTGTCTTTGTTCTTGTTTCTTTGCTTGCAAGTAAGTTGAGAGAAAGGCTCCCTAGCGCTCTAACGGAATTGAGAGCTAGGGCCTCACGATCGAGAGTAAGGTTGTGACAAGTGGTATCAGAGTCTCGTTCGGCTTTGTGCTAGCAAAGTAGAAGCAATAGCCAGACGAAAAAGGAAGAGCCTCACCAAAAGTGTCGGGATCAGAAGTCAATGACGATGTTGAGAAGCATCAGCAGCATTCTATGAGGGGGTCTAAGAGCCGGCTCTTGTGGAGCTCCTGGCCTTACGGGATGCAGTTCGCTGATGCTTGGGGTACGAGTTGCAGTCGATGACTTTCGCAGGTGACGCTCAAGGGATCCTGAGGAAGATCCGGGAGGGCGATGTAGCAGATGTTCTTGGAGGTACGCTTTTGGAGGAGATACGTAATTTGCAGGGCTTGCTCCATGAGTTTAAGGTTGTTTTTGTTGGTCGTGAGTGTAACAGGATTGCCCACTTGGTGGCAAGAAAAGCCCTTTCGTTGTCCCCTTCGTTAGTGGGGTTCAATTTTGTTTCTTGGCTGTTTTCAGCTATGTGACTCTTTGTATCTGGCTGTTTTCTCGATAATACGAGCGATCTTTTAACAAAAAAGAAAAAATTAGACATTTCTCCACAAACATAAATAAGATTAGTTGTTTAGAATATTAAATATACCGAGAAAATTAATTATATGGGTGTGGACGGGTACCCATGTGGCTGGTTTAGCTAAACCTAAACCCAACCCAGTAAATAGTGAACGAGTTTAAACCCAAACCCGATGCGAAACCCGTCAACGCAGATTTTACTCGCATTAACCGGATTAGGTTGGGTGGGTACCCGTGGGTTCGGATTTTGTTGCCATCCCTATCGATTTGTAATTTACAGGTTCTATATCCTCAATAATATCTTGCGCACTCCGACTCCGTTGAACCGAAAAATGCTGGTGCTGGTGCTTCTGACGACGCTGCTTGTTCGTCCGACGACAGTCAAACCCTATGGATTCGGATCGGCGACCAATCCTCGCGGTGCCGATCCTCCTCCTCTTCGTTATTCATCTTCTCTCCCTCCTTTGACCGCTCAACCTCCCCGGTGGCGCCACCACGTTTTCCTCAACTTCCGGGGGCCGGACGTCCGCCACACCTTCACCGACCACCTCTACCACGCCCTCGTACGCAAAGGAATCAAGGCCTTCCGCGACGATCGCGACATCCCCCGCGGCGAGAACATCACCGAGGCCATCCCGCGGGCCATCGAGGAGTCCAGGTTCTCCATCCTCGTTCTGTCCAGAGGTTACGCCTCGTCGGAGTGGTGTTTGGACGAGCTGGTCAAAATAATGAGCTGCGCCAAGGAGATTGGCCACCAGCCTTTCCCGATCTTCTACAACTTGTCTCCCGACCAGGTTTCCAACCCCTCCGGCCATTACAAGCACGACTTCGATCGGTATAAGCGGGAGTACAGCTACGAGAGAGTCCACAGCTGGCTGGCCGCTCTCGCCGCCATCGCCGATATCTCCGGCTGGGTTCTCAGTGAAAGCAAGTATACAGCCCGATCCACCCCTTTTACTCATTTTTTCAAACACTCTTAGCGGGTAGCGGCATAACCAACAAGCTACTTCTTTTAGCTGCTTCCTTTAGTCATTTCCACAAACACCTCGGCGGCGTCACCAACTAAGGAACCTCTTCTTTTTTAGTTATTTTGACAAACACCTCAGCGGCATTACCCAACAAAGCTACTAAAATGTACTGAGGTCCGAGGCTAACCTAATTTTATCCAAATGTAGATCTGAAGCTCAGTTGGTGGAGGATATCGCCTCGAGCATGTTGCGGAAAGTGGTCCAGGAGCTTCATGGTTCCTCCTCCATCACAAGCGTTTTGCCGCAGTCAGTTCGGCAATCCCAGCGCGAGGTGAATCTCCATTTCTGCGGTGGAGAAAGGAATGTTACTCCGGACGGTGTGAGTGCGACTCATGAATGCCCAGCAGCTGCAAGATCAAAGGCGAATGATTACGAGCACCTCAAATTCTTCAAGCCCGAGATCTCGCCGCAGGGTGAGAAGACAGTGAGAATCCCCAAAACCGTCGCCGAGGAAGGGATCAAGAAGTACTCACAATTGGGTCTACTCGGGCAGCGGTTATCCTCCTTTGACGAAGGAAGTGCTGCTCATGATCAATATGTCAGCATTCTTATGAAGGAAGCAAACCGACTATGGAGCAACAGACAATCATCAATGGGGGGGAGGATCGTAGGGGTCCAAGAAGTAGGCGGCGCAGGAATGTACATCTTCACGTTTCCAGACCTGGAAACTCGAGACATGGTGCTGGAATCTTCCCCGTGGTGCATCGCCAACAGCTCGTTTGTGATGAGGAAATGGGAGCCGAGTATGCAGTTCCACCGTCGCTCCACCACGGTTCCCATATGGGTGCGTCTGGTTGGCGTTCCGGTGGAGTATATGACACCAAAAGGACTGAGCTACATAGCCAGTGCCCTTGGGAAGCCTCTGTACATGGACAGAGCAACCGCGAGCGGATCTCAGCTCGCATTTGCCAAAGTCTGCGTGGAGATCATGAGATCACCTGACGATTATGATGATCAAGGGTTCCCTACCTCCATATCAGTTGCCATTTGGGATGGTACTGGTGATGATCAGGGGGAAGTGGTGGTGATTGTGGGAGTGTTGTATCAGTGGAGTATGCCTTGCAGCATAATTACTACTGCGGCGATCCAACAAAGCACTCATCCGAGTGTTCTTCATATGATGATATCTGCGTCGTTAGTCTTCGTCACAGTCCTATCAGCTTTCACGCCTTGTTTTAGGTTTGATTATCAGCTACAGGTTTTGAGTGTACGCCTATTAAGGCCTGCTTGGAACCAACAAAAACTGTGGAAATGAAATAGGAAGATAAACTACATGTAGACTGTGGTGATTCCGAATAAGAATTTATGCAATACAAGAAGATAGCAATTAGCAAGTAAAGAGAAAGGTGGTTGAGTTCTCAAATCGGATTGGCATTTTCCGCAGCAACCAACTCGAATATTATGATTGAGAGACGGCTTATTGAATAAGATTATCATTGTACAATATTACAATTTCTACCCTTCCTGATACTCTTTCTGCAAGTAACTTGGAGCTTTAAGGGTGAGGCAAGGCAAGAGAGAGATAATAGGCAGGAGCAAACCAGAGGGAAGGAAACCAGAAGAAGGACAAACCAGTCATATCATCTAAGCTGCAAGATGAACAGCTCAGGTTTCTCGATCAGATGTTTCCACTCGGAGCAAAATCTCGCGACTGTAGCCCCATCCAGAACCCTGTGATCTGCTCCTATATTCACCTGAAAAAAACAGTGGAGGCATTAAACCGCTATAGAGATGAATCAGCAAACGACTTAAGAAATGTTAAGTGCTTAATCAGCTTACAGTCATGATCGAAGCAGGGTAAACATTCTCGTTTTTATCGAAACGAGGAACTTTCTGGATTCGCCCCATTGCAATTATGGCAACTTCAGGCAAGTTAAGGAGGGGAGAGCCAAACTTCCCACCGATTGCACCAATGTTGCTTAGAGTCACCGTTCCACCTGTTATGTCTTCAGGGCTAAGCTTGTTAGCCAATGCAAGCTGTTGCAACCGGCCGAGTTCCATGGTTATCTGCATCCAATCATTTCAGTGGATTTGATTACAGTTTTTCTCGTGTCGAACTTGCTTGTTCACCAAACGTTTAGTGAATGAAAAACAAGTTTTACAAGAAAATGAATCATGTCATTCGACGAGTACAGTTCCATACGATATACTTTCAAGGCAATTCTTAGAATAGTATAGTTTCAAGTCACAGTGAAAGCTTTCTGACTAGTGACATTGAGGCCCACCAGTCAACAAAGAGAAAGAAATGACGGGAAACGAACCTCGAGGATTGAAAGGGACAACATTCTTTATGTTTGGTACCACTAGACCGGATGGAGTAGCCATGGCAATTCCAATGTTGTGGGAACCTAATGTGCCAGTGGCAATTATGAACAAACAATAATTTAGCAATAGAGATCAGAGAAGAGAAAGAAATCTTAGAACTTCAATTGAAATGAAATACACACTACTTAACAGCACGTCCATGAAACTTAACCTAGCCAACTATCATGGTCCTTGCGCAAGGATGACATGCATAAAATCGAGAGAATTTGCAGAAGCCAAATAACAACTGTGATTTTTGAGAAGGATAGGGTCAATCAACCTTTTAGTACGACCTCCATTGCATCCTCGTTGAATGAACTATTCACCAAAGGGTACATGCTAAGTGCTGATGAAAGGGCCTTTATTAACAACGGAAGGAAGGTGTGCTTAACTCCTGGATCGGTAGTTTGTTTCTGGAAAGACGCTTTGAGTTCCACTATTGCATCACAGTTGATCTCTTCCACGAAATAAAAATGTGGAACTTTGGCAGCCATTGACATTGTTTTCACCATTGCCCTCTGGAATCCCCTGAAAAGAAAAAAGAAAAAACCGAAGGCGCTTAACTACAATGTTGACTTAGTCTTAACTACGAATACGAGCAAGAAAACTAGGTGAAGTCAGACATTACCTAAGGGTAACCTTCTTATCATTGGGATTCTGTATGACTTCAGCTGATCCAAGTTCGTCCTGAAGGTGGTCGCCCAAAGGAATGCCAGAAGACTCGATGATTCCTTTCTGAACAGCATATTTAAGAATATCTTCTTTCAGCACCCTCCCTGATTTCCCAGATCCTTGAATATCATTTAGACTGATTCCATACTGTTTAGCGAGATGCCTTACTGCTGGTGTACTCAAAACTCCACCAGTTCCGGCTGTATTCAAGTCAGCACCAGATGAAAACTCACCGTCGAGGTCCCCATTCACCTGAGCTGATACCTGGGAGTCAACTGACTGCACATTAACCTGAGATTCGTCCACCGCCATCTTCAGAAGAGTCTCCCCAACCTGCAATAGAGTTTTCCCCATGTCTTCAAGGGCACAGTAACGAATTGAAATTAACGAAAAGCCATCTCAATGAGCCACCTTGGAACTGTTCTACAAAAATTGCTCAACATAATGGTTATAGTTCCTAATAATAGCTTTGTCAAATATTGAAGCTACTTCAAGACCTCCAACTTCAATGTGGAGACTGTCACAAGCCAAAGTGGCTTTTGTTGCATTCAGAGACAATCAATCACAAAAGCGCAGCAAGCAAGTCTTAATACGAAAATCGGTTCAATCAAAGGCGAGCCATTCAAGTGAAGAACCTCCCTCACCTTCACAATGTCACCAGGAACATAGAGCATCCGAGAGACTCTTCCTTTGTAACGGCTTGTGATTTCAATGGTGGCCTTATCGCTCTGAACTTCACAGAGCGGCTGAAACTCGTCAACTTCGTCCCCCTGGAGAGCCAAATATCATTCCAATCCAATTTGAAAGAGAGGGAGGAAAGGAAATTAAAGAAAGAAAGAAAAAACAACTGGCTGTAACGATCGATCACGCACCTCTTTAACAAACCACTGAAGCAGTTCACATTCAGCAATACCTTCGCCGGTCTGAGCCAACGGCACATCGACGGTCTCGTTCTCCGGAAGATCCGCCACCGCGCTACCGGAAAAGCAACGCCGCTTCCACCGCCAACAAAGCACCACAACCAAAATCAGTTAAAAAAAATCTCAAATAGAAACTAGAACATCGATCAATCAAAATAATGAATAGCAAACTCACTCCGATTGAATCGCCTCCTTGGGATGGAGGTTCGGCCGCCGAGTGGCTAGAGCGGCAGAGTCGGGACGACAGGTGACTAAGAAACGGACGGCCGTGGTGACCGGCGAAGACCGAGGGCGGAGGCGGAAAAAGAGGAATCTGAGCAGCTTCATATGTCAGGAAGCGACGGCCAGCGGCAGCGGCGGACCAAGCTCGTTTCCGGCTCAGGAACCTGATCGGAATCATGATTGAGTTGAGGGAAGACGCCTCAGGTGCTGCTGTGAAGTCTTGTAACGGCTGCTGAAACAAAATGAAAAACTCGCGGTTTTCGAAGTGGACTGTGGTAGTAGAAATTAATTATGACCAAAGTTGACGATTAATTAGGCAATTAGTTCCTATTTTTCTTTTTTGGAGGATTAGTTGTTGGGAAATGTAATAACAACCGTGCCGTTTCTTGGATCTGAGCGTATGAAGAGTTAGCTTGCTGTCAGCGATGGCAATAGTTCGAGTAGGGGACGGATATTGCATATCCGTTGCTTTATCTAAAATAGTTTGAGTTTTATTTATATCTATGCCAACATGTGAAACGGGTAGAAAATTAAAACTATGTCTATACTCGTTCGGGTTACCCACGGTTATCCAATATGTCAACATTCACACGTATTCTCACATTACTTAAGAAGAAAGTTCGACAATAGTTCACAAGAATGAACAAAATTAATTAAAACAACACAATTTCATAAAAATATTATATTTATATGCTAAATATAAAATATGTTAGACAGGTCCAGCCCAAGCCCTGTGCTGGTCAGAAACACAGCACATTGTTGTGGCCTCAAATTTTCTGGATGGCTAAATGCCGCCCTAAAATTGCAGAATCGCACTGGATTAAAATTGAAAATGACTAAATTGCCTTTTGTATTTTTGTTAAACCCTACCCAAATATCTCCACTTGTTTATGCTCGGATTGTTCCAAGCGGTTAGGTGAGGATCCACGGTCTTGGGCGGTTTCCAATTGTCGAGGGCGATCTCCGAAACCTGCAAGAAAGGTCCTCAGGTGTCCCTGGGACCTCCTTCGATGCCTAAGTTAGAGAGAGGATTGAGAGAATTGTAAATGAGAGAGAGAATGGAGTAGTTGAAGTTACCATAAATGTGATCCTATGAGGGGTATTTATACTAGTTTAGACTGAGTTATGCGCATTTAATGTCGTGTCGGGCATTCTATGACGCCTCTGGCTTTTCCAACGTCCCTCGTCAGACTTCGTACGTTAAAGCCAGATTGTCGGGCGGTTCTTCGTTTCTGACAGGGTTCATTGTCGGGCGGTCTCGTCATCACGCGATGTGCAGGACCGCCTTTGGTTGCTTTCTTCTTTTCGGGCCTTGTCTGCTCCTGTGTGGGCCTTGAATGCAATTGGGCCTTCGGGCCTTGTGGCTTAGTGCCCGGCCTAACACCACTTTCCAGGCTTCCCCTCGTTGCCGCAACTGTTCGCCGGAGAAGGTCCACCTTGCCGGAGCTTCCTTGCATTTCTAGTCCTCCTCGCATACTCCTTTAATTGCACCTACCTTGCCGGAGTAGAGCAACCCAGTTCACATGCATTTCATCACAGCCGACCAGACAAGTAAAATAATCAAACCCAGGAAACAAGAGCAATCAGCCAACCCACCGGAAAATCAGTCAATCAAAATTCTGGCTAAGATCGTTGTGCTGCTGTTCACCATTTTTGTAGTAGTCCGGTTCGTTTCTTTTATAGAAGGGGAACAAAACAAATGCTGCAATAATTAATCAAAAGGAACATAATAGGAATCATTGGCATGGAACATCATTAACCTAATTCTGAAACCCATATTTGGTCTAGTGGGGGCATAACAAATCTCAACTTCCATCCACCAGGGGCGCACCAAACCTTGCTTCGACTCAACGAGGGCGTTTGTTGGCGAGACGGCACTACGTGACAAGACCAGTGGAGAAGAGGGGCAGGGCGTGCATTTCGGTGGAGGATGGAGTGTATTTATTTTTTATAAATTAATGGTGTAAATATAAATAATAAAGAGGATAAAAACGTAATTAATATATTAAAATTAGGGTGATAATAGTAAAACTAGGGCGATGAATAGAAATCCCCCAAAGTTTTGGGGCCTCACATAATAAAAGTTCATAGGCGGGCCAGAGTATACCTGGGCCTCATAATCCGGTGGAGCTCACCTTAGTAAGGCCCACCCAACCTGGACCGCGGAGCTGCACTCAATGGCAGACCCAGAATTGCCGGAGAGGTGTGTCGCCGATAAAATAATGTAATAACTAAAAAATATTAATTAAAACATTAATAGAAATCAAATAGAAATTACTAGAAATTAATTCATAAAGTTCACAATGTCATGTTTACTAGAAATGTCTGTAAATACATTCATTGCTTATGTTGCGAAGCAAATCCTTTTCGATATACACAACTAAACAATAATTCATTAAATTCGTCACTCAAATGATTTCGAAGTTCATTCTTGATTATCTTCATAGCTGAAATCTTTCGCAGCTTTCAATTGTAACAGGTAAAGTCAACACCAACTTCCAAAAGCAAGTAAAACTAAAGGGTAAAAGAAAAGGGAGATGTGGTAGTGGCTCTCAGTAATTAGAAACTAAAACGGGGTAAGGGTGAGTTTTTTATTTTCAATAAAGGAAGAGTCAAGGGGTGGAAACGGTGAGTTTCAAAGGATGGGGTTATGTTTATTTTTTCCATTGTTGGGTTGTGGTAGGGATGACAACCAAACCCATGGTCGCGGGTACCCGACCTCCTCCGCCCAGTCAATACGGGAATCCCTGCATTGACGGGGTATGGGGCGAGTATGGATAAAACCCCCCAAAAAGGTTGATGGGTATGGGGCTGGTATGATTTTTAACTCTCCAGCCCCATACCCATACCCAAACCCGCCCTACCAAGGATATTATGTTATATACATAAAATATAAGGAGTATATGGTAACTTGTCAATCGAATGAAGAGTAATTAAAAGAAAAAAATAAAATGTTAAAATGTAATTGATGGCAACCAAACCTTAATTTCATCCTCTTATGTATTAGTTCCATAATTTTGGGTGGGTAGTATCCGTATTTGTCACCATATTCTATTATTAATGGTGAGTAGTTGTTGGGGCGGTATTACCCATGGGTATCAGAAAACCACGGGTATGGGGATGAGTTTGTAAGACCTTTCACTGCATGGGTATGAGACGGGTATGAGTTTGAATATTTGGAAATGGGGATGAGGTTGGTTTAGGCAAACCCGCTCTATTGTCATCTCTAGGTTGTGGTGTTGGTTACTCTAAAACAAGCATACTTATTTGAATTTACTTATTATTGTGTATTATTCATTAAGATAAATAACTTTATAACAAGAAAATCATTCTCGTATAATGAAGGTGTGTCGCTCACAATTATTTAAGATGTGTCGGAAGTCCCGAATTAAAAAAATTTGTATAAAAAATATATAGGTACTTCACAAAATTTCTGGGCGAGGGTGTGTCGGACGACACACCCTGCCCTTTACTAGGTCCGCCACTGGCTGCACTCCTGCCAAGACCCACGCTAGACTTTATATATAAAAAGGGCAGACAATGTGAATCGAACCATAGGCCTCATTTTTATTCTAAACATATTCAACCACTCAGCTGGAAGTTGTTTGATAAATATAAACTTGCAGTTAGTTTATTCACCCCTCTCTTCTTCTCTTTTTCCAAAATTTCTCAACTTCCTAAAACCATCCAATGCCTAAATATTAATTATTCACGCCCAATTTTAATTAAATCCTAATAAATGTTTCATCCATACTATACAAACTCTTAATCAGCTTGTTTTAAGTTCTATCCTTTTTCCTTTTTCTTTTGTATGGGACTTAATATTGATTGGAAATTTGAAATCATTAATCTTTGATTTCAATTTTTAATTATGTGAACCCAAAATTGTGAAAAAGGTAGTTCTAAGCGTAAAAGAAAATAGAGAATTGATGAATCTGAATATCAGTAGCCGATCTTGATGACGATTCAAATATTAGAAGTGAAACTAAATCTTTTGCACAAATGAACTTGGTAATTTTGCGTTTATTGTTTCATTAGTTATTTGTGTATGAAATATTGCACTCAATAAATTCGGTTGTAGATATTTACATAGAGAATATAGAAGGGCTAATAAAAGATTTTATTTCAAATAATACTAGACGATTGTTATTCTTTGAACTATGATAGATAACATTATTACTTTTGTAATCATTTTCTGAACTTGTGTAATTTTATTATTATTTAATAAATTTGCGAGACAAAATTTTGGGGTCACGTTTTAAATTGTCGAACAGGGCCTCCGAATATCATGGGACGGCCCTGATGTTAGAGAAAAATAATGATTATTTCTAGACTAAATACATATGCATTTGTATAATCGGGCGGGTTCGTGTTGGATAGTGAGAAACCCATACCCACCCATTACCCGCAATATTCGGGTTCGGGTTTTACTCGTACCCACTAAATGTCCTTCGGGTTCTGATTTTACTCTACCCGATTAGGCCGAATTCGGGCGGATATCCACGGTTACAGATATTTTTGCCATCCCTACTTGTTGTTTCGGATTTCAGATTAGGTCAGCAATTTTCAGCCTACTGTTATATACGTGGAGCTGGGTCACAGAGAGTTAGGGATGACTGGGCTTTAGTAATCCATAACCGAATCGGAATCAGTGTTTAACGGTTACACTGAAAACCGATTAAATAGTAAATGGTAGTTTCCCGGTAGCCAAATTTAGCTAATAACTAACTAATAATTAAACGGTTAATAACCAACTGTTAAACGGTTAACCGACTACAATCATCCTCATAGTTAGGGCCGAAGATAATAGACCTCCATGAGCCACAAACATAGGCCGAAAATAATGGGGTGTTTGAAGGCTTACAAGACCCCTTGCCTATTCTAGTTGTGATAGTGTCTTAAACTCAAATGAGAATAATTTAAAGGAAGAGTTTTAAAAGGAGTACAGTAGAAAGTCGGACTTGCACACAGTTGCTCGACAATTATCAGTAGCATTAAGCTTCCATGCAATTTCGTGGGGTTTACGAGTTGAGTAATTGTTGTTGGATCTCTTATCGTTATATGTTTCTTTAATAAAGTTTGACAGTAGAATGATATTATGTTGTACTTGTGTTGGATAGAGTTGATTATGTATTGATATCTATGTTAAATTATTTTTTATTCAATGATAACAGTTTA